CTGGTTGACATTTCTCTATGCCTAGTCTAGCTTGCTAGCCACAGCTCGTTCTCAAGGGACAAAACAATAGTGGCGGCCGAAGCCACCACAGCACTAGAAAGAAGATGCACTCTAATGTCTCGTTGAGTTACGTCGATGAGGCGATATGAGGTGCAGGGTACAGAACGGCAGCTGACGATATGGCCGAGACGCGCCTGCCCTTGCCTCGGCCTTCGACACCCGCCTTCGAATTCTAATATAGCAACACAAAGTACTCCCAGGTGTTACGAGACCGTCTTTGGGGTAGTTTTGAATGTAGCGGAGCAGCCGTTTCGCTGTGGTCTATGGTTTTGGCGCCAAATGAACATGGATGTGATGCAGGGTTGGTTGATATCTTAGAAGACGGCACAATTGGATATATCGAATCCCTTTACGGATCTGCCACACTGTCGTCGGGTGTACCTATTCTGTTCCTAGCGGTCGTAGGGGCGAAGTTTGATTGTGCTAGGTTATGGGTGCAGCGCCCGTCGTGCTGCAGGCGTCCAATGCCTGCTGCTGTTGCACGGGCCATCCTCATTCCCGAGACCACGGCGGGGTCAACCCTACCTCCACGCTGCATAGCCAGCAGCCAATCACCGACTTGGCTACTGCAACATGCAGTTTGGGACCTTTGTTCCGCGATGCGACAAGCAGCTAATTTCTGCGCGCGTTAGCCTCGCCAACAGGGGCTGGTGATACGGATGCTGGGGTGATCCATGCGTTGCTGATACTGCGCCACAGTCGGAACCGTAGTCCAGTGCAGATTCGCAGCTCATTCTTTCTGGCCGGACGTCGGACTTGGAAGGAGTCAGCCCGAGCAAGATGCTTCCAGCTCATCTCTTCCACTCTTCATCCCATCTAGGCCTCCAAGTCCGTAAGACAACAGGTCCGCCTCTCGAGATCTGGTGCAACCAACGCAGCCATACGTGACCAAGTACAGCTCCACTAGAACACACCCGAAAGAAACTAACACACCAACGCAGACACAAACTCTTGCTTACCGCCGCCGCCATGGATCAGCCTTCATCCGCGACACTACCTTACACGGTCATGCACTTTCTCAATCACATCCAGGCTTGGGCTGTGGGTTTCTACTACACAGGAGCCTGGCTGTTCAGTCTATGCACTCTACGAAAAGCACGATTGGTATCTCAAAAGAGACGGCGAAGCATTTTGATCTCGATGCTCACAGTCCTGGGCGCGTACATGGTGGAGGTCGTCTACCACTCCACTCGGCCGGCCAGCGATCGTGCTGGCGGCTACAACTCGAAAGTTGGCGAACGCGGCGTTCGTCTCTCGGGTGGCCAACTCCAACGCATAGCTATTGCCCGCGTGCTGCTCAAGAGTCCCAAGATTGTCATGCTCGACGAGGCCACATCCGCAATCGACTCCTCGACCGAAGCGCGCATCCAGCAAGCCTTCAGCCAGTTGAGCCAGGGCCGCACTACCTTCGTCATCGCGCATCGCCTGAGTACGATTGTAGACGCGGATCAGATTCTAGTGGTCGACAAGGGTGAGATCATCGAGAGGGGGACACATCAGGAGTTGCTGGAGAACCAGGGTAGCAAGTATGCGGAGCTTTGGTCGAAGCAGACTGCGGGGCTTGTGCCCAAAACGCCATCCAAGGAAGACGCCGACAAGGATGGGGAGATAGGGATAGCGGCGGAGACAGGCGCGAGCAAGGCATCGTAGGGTGAGAACAAGGGGACGGCGATGGCCCTTGCTTCGGAGCGGGACAGTCATACTGAAGATACGAGCGCAACACCTATAGAAACAAAGAGTCTCAACGAGAGCCATGGAAGTGGGAGAAAGGAGGGCAGGGATGCGATAACCTTGGATAGCACTAGTCTAATGTCAAGTCACAGTCCTCGTGTGTTGATCACATTTTGGTAATCTTCGAGATGGAGAACGGTGTCTAAGTTGTGGCCGAAGTGATGAGGTTCATGCACTGTCCTTGCGACATCGTCTCGGAGAGACATATACTAATCGCTCGAGATCTCCACGGCAGGTTTGGCGATGTATGCATGCTTGCCTTTGCGCTCAGCTACTGATATCACTGCCTCCCGTCGGCAAGATTACCAGAGCATCAGCGTCAGTAGATCCAAGATCGCGAGCAGCCCGGATTTGCAGACTTCGTACACTAGCATCGGTTAGCATACGCTTTCCCATTCGTGGAGAAACAATTCAGCGACACGCGTGTTCCACTCGCTTCTCTTGAGAGATTCCGTGATTCAGGCATTGTAGGGCGGTTGTGGTGCGATGACTGGACGTGATCTGTACTTGGATAATCAAAAGCTATACTGCACTACTACATCTGACTTGACCCTGAAGATGCTGTCAGCTGGCATGGAGATCATTGCTCCTCCCATCCTGATTCTATTGTCTGGTCACCGCGAAGCAGACAAGACGTCGCCGAACAGAAAACAGTGCATTATCGGTCATTGTGTCAGCTTCCTTGTAGTCTTTTGTTGCTTTCTCGTGCGAGGTGAGAAGTGACGTGCTCGTTTGACCTACGACTGGCAACGTTCGTTGCAGCAAGGACGTCTCGCAAGGGTCGGGTGTTGTAGATTGCAAATGCACTGCACCGTGCGAATAGTCCTACCCAAACGTGTCTTCTGTGTGTGCAGAAAAGGCTTGATACTCCGGCTCGACAGGCGGGAGAAGGGGCCCACGGGCCACGCAAGGTCAGCAGGATACGCCAGTCGATGTCTCT